CACCCTTGGTTTCTTCACGTGCGCTGCGTGGTGACAGGCAGCAGAGCTGTCCCGGACGGGTGACAGCAGGGATGCTGGCCAAGGCTGCTCAGGGGCGAGGGAAGCCCAAGGAACAGCTCCCTGTGGCCTTTCAAAGCAGCTGTTCCCTGCCAGCAGGGAATGCTGCACGGAGCTGTCATCGCAGCACATGGTATCACAGACACTGAGGGATCCCAGGGGAGGAGGAGGCAGAGCAGGGTAACAGCAGCTACATCGTGGGTTCGTTCCCAGGGACAGCTCCTGAGGGGCCAGGCAGGGCTGGTTGACTCTGGGCTTCAGGGTGTCTCCAGCTTCTCATTTTAAAATAAAAGAAAAAGACAAACCTCTGACACCTGACACTGCCTGTTGTGGCTGGGGTGGGGGTCCGATACTGCTCTGACATTCCTTCTGCCCCTCAGCCCAAGGCTGCAGGTGGATCTCCCACCAGCTTTGCAGGCTTTGGGAAAGGTCATCTGCTGTGTTGGAATGTGGCTCAGGAGCAGTGCCAGCCCACAGGCTGGCCATCCCTGCATAAGCTGCTGGTGTTCCTTTTCCCTGGTGGGCTTCAGGGTGTCTCCAGCTTCTCATTTTAAAATAAAAGAAAAAGACAAACCTCTGACACCTGACACTGCCTGTTGTGGCTGTGCTGGGAATCCGATACTGCTCTGACATTCCTTCTGCCCCTCAGCCCAAGGCTGCAGGTGGATCTCCCACCAGCTTTGCAGGCTTTGGGAAAGGTCATCTGCTGTGTTGGAATGTGGCTCAGGAGCAGTGCCAGCCCACAGGCTGGCCATCCCTGCATAAGCTGCTGGTGTTCCTTTTCCCTGGTGTTCCTTTTCCCTGGTGCTCCTGGGGAAAGGTGGATGGTTTGTTTGCTCTCTTTGCTGCCAGCTGTTCCTCCTCCCACAAAATACTGAGCTTGACCTCAAACCAAATAAGCAGAGGACATAAAAGAGGAAAGATACAAATGGAGTCCACGTTTTAACATGCAGTGTTTTCAGTTAATTTGGTTTGGGATTTTCAGTTACCTCAGGGAGAATCTGGAACTGTTTGTTTGGAATCATCATACTTGATATTAGCTATGGGGAAGACCATGTTTGTCTGCTCCTCAAACCATTAGACAGACACAAAGGAGAGGGTGAGATGCCTTGTGGCTGCAAAGTTCTGTTGTTGCTGCTTTGGAGATACCCATTTTATTTTGTTTTCAAGCGCTGACACCCCAGAAGTCCCTGCTTGCAACAATGACCACACGTGCATGGGGCATGGGGGCAGTGAGATACCACCTTCAGCCCCAAACTGAATTTGCTCCAACTAATCCTACATCACCCACAGTGCTGGGTCACTGTCCAGTTCCTGCTGGAGACCAGTCCCCATCCAACCCCCTCTGGCCACCTTTTCCCATTGCAGATGTACTCCCTGCAGCTCAATCCCAGCTCACAGTGTCACCTACTTCCAGGACATAAATTGGGGGTTCTCCCACCTGGATGATGTTCAGGCTTCTCTCACAACAGCTGCTGTAGTTTCATGGTCCAGGCAAAGCCTGAAGGAATTGTATCCCCAGTCCCTTGACTTCTGCCATGGCTGGAGGCCCAGAGCTGTCGACCAGAGAGAGACTCTGACCACAGGGCATCGATCAGCAAGGCAGGGCAGATGGTCAGTGGCCCTGGGAGGGCTTCCCAGAAAGGTGCCTTCATGGCAGTTGATGGTCTGATCACCCCTGGCCTCTCCCAGGCCTGTGTCTGACCTTGAGCCCTCTGATCAGAGCAGTCATGTGGCAGTTTGCTAACGAGGTGACGCCCTGCCCGGGCAGCACATTGTCAGGGGGAAGAGGAAGCCGAGACAGGCCGAGGGAGAGGTTTCCCATCTTTTCTGTCCTACCAGCCATGGATAGGAAGCAGAAGCAAGCAGAGAAGGTACAGTATGCCCCACACTGCCACCATTAACACGCTTCGTTTCTCTCCAGCCCCACTTTCCTTTCATGCTTCCGTAATTCCTCCTTCTCTTGTTTTTTAACATTTCCTCTCTGATCCTCGATCGCCAGGTCCTACAGAGAGCAGAGAGCGTTTGCTCAGCACCACGTAGAGGCTTTGTCACCTGGCAGATTTAACTTTGTCTTTCTTCTTCTGTGCTGAACTGCTGGGAGGAGGTGGGGGGGACAGCTCTTCTCATTGCTGTGGAAATCAAAGGGCTCCCTGGCATTGCATTCCCAGTGCACTGAGGATGCAAAGTCCAGGGTCCTGCAGAAGAGTGTCTGATTCAGTAAATCCAACAGAAGAGAAGGAGCAGAGGGAACTGAAAACCTCTGGAGTACTATTTCAACTTTTTCAAGCCAAAGGGTGTCCAACCTTGTTCACCAAAGATGCTGTTATACTTTTGGGGGAAAACTGGCAGGTTCATGTCCTGGTTAGCAGCTGGGTTTGCTCCTTCTTACTTCTCCACCCAAGGAAATAGTGCAGTGCTTTTTTTAGGGCCTTCACTCCCTCATGACCCCATAAGAGCCCAAGAGCCTGTTGGCATCACCCACAGTTTCCTGAATAGCTCTCACTGTTCCCTCTCCAAATGCTCCTTTAGTTTGGCCAGTCCCATACTGGTACAACCAGATAGAGGTTCTTTTAATGTAGCTGAGTCTTCCAGGAACTGGGAGGTTCCCCAACACAAATGAGCATTGGCCCAGGGCCTGCACATCACAGATCCCTGGACAGTCAGAGAAGAAGTTTAATCCTGCCCCAAATTTACCTAAATTCTGCCTCCTGTGAGCCCAAAGGGTAGTTTGATTTGGGTTCTGCTTACCTTTCTAGCCTTATGGTGTTGTAAGAGGTACTGAAACAGTTTCTGACAGTACACAAGGTTGATAGTTTTCACAAGTTACTTTCTTCCCACTCACCATGGGATGGAAGGGTTTGACTTTGTCGGATACATGGAGACTCTCAGCTGGAAGGTGCCCAGAGTGAGAATTGTATCATTATCCTGGCAGCGTTTCCCCCGATGATCAGTGCCTTGGGAGGTCAGGTTTCTCCCCTGCAGCTCTCCTGGGTGTCCTACCACCATCTCCAGCAGTCAGACCCACTTCGTGTGCTCTGCTCCCACATCCCTGTGCCCTCAGAGAGACTGGGATGGAGACTCCCAGCTCCAGGTTAATTTGCCACCTCGTGCAGATCTGGGGGGGGAAATTTTGTGTCGACATTTGCTCTGTGCTTTGCAGGCCAGGCCCCCGGGCTTGCTGAAGCCGACGGCTTTAGGCAAGATCCCTGGCAGATTCCAGCTCCATCAGGAGGCGCTGCCCCACCTGCCCCGGGCGTCCCACCTGGATGATGTTCAGGCTTCTCTCACAACAGCTGCTGTAGTTTCATGGTCCAGGCAAAGCCTGAAGGAATTGTATCCCCAGTCCCTTGACTTCTGCCATGGCTGGAGGCCCAGAGCTGTCGACCAGAGAGAGACTCTGACCACAGGGCATCGATCAGCAAGGCAGGGCAGATGGTCAGTGGCCCTGGGAGGGCTTCCCAGAAAGGTGCCTTCATGGCAGTTGATGGTCTGATCACCCCTGGCCTCTCCCAGGCCTGTGTCTGACCTTGAGCCCTCTGATCAGAGCAGTCATGTGGCAGTTTGCTAACGAGGTGACGCCCTGCCCGGGCAGCACATTGTCAGGGGGAAGAGGAAGCCGAGACAGGCCGAGGGAGAGGTTTCCCATCTTTTCTGTCCTACCAGCCATGGATAGGAAGCAGAAGCAAGCAGAGAAGGTACAGTATGCCCCACACTGCCACCATTAACACGCTTCGTTTCTCTCCAGCCCCACTTTCCTTTCATGCTTCCGTAATTCCTCCTTCTCTTGTTTTTTAACATTTCCTCTCTGATCCTCGATCACCAGGTCCTACAGAGAGCAGAGAGCGTTTGCTCAGCACCACGTAGAGGCTTTGTCACCTGGCAGATTTAACTTTGTCTTTCTTCTTCTGTGCTGAACTGCTGGGAGGAGGTGGGGGGGACAGCTCTTCTCATTGCTGTGGAAATCAAAGGGCTCCCTGGCATTGCATTCCCAGTGCACTGAGGATGCAAAGTCCAGGGTCCTGCAGAAGAGTGTCTGATTCAGTAAATCCAACAGAAGAGAAGGAGCAGAGGGAACTGAAAACCTCTGGAGTACTATTTAAACATTTTCAAGCCAAAGGGTGTCCAACCTTGTTCACCAAAGATGCTGTTATACTTTTGGGGGAAAACTGGCAGGTTCATGTCCTGGTTAGCAGCTGGGTTTGCTCCTTCTTACTTCTCCACCCAAGGAAATAGTGCAGTGCTTTTTTTAGGGCCTTCACTCCCTCATGACCCCATAAGAGCCCAAGAGCCTGTTGGCATCACCCACAGTTTCCTGAATAGCTCTCACTGTTCCCTCTCCAAATGCTCCTTTAGTTTGGCCAGTCCCATACTGGTACAACCAGATAGAGGTTCTTTTAATGTAGCTGAGTCTTCCAGGAACTGGGAGGTTCCCCAACACAAATGAGCATTGGCCCAGGGCCTGCACATCACAGATCCCTGGACAGTCAGAGAAGAAGTTTAATCCTGCCCCAAATTTACCTAAATTCTGCCTCCTGTGAGCCCAAAGGGTAGTTTGATTTGGGTTCTGCTTACCTTTCTAGCCTTATGGTGTTGTAAGAGGTACTGAAACAGTTTCTGACAGTACACAAGGTTGATAGTTTTCACAAGTTACTTTCTTCCCACTCACCATGGGATGGAAGGGTTTGACTTTGTCGGATACATGGAGACTCTCAGCTGGAAGGTGCCCAGAGTGAGAATTGTATCATTATCCTGGCAGCATTTCCCCCGATGATCAGTGCCTTGGGAGGTCAGGTTTCTCCCCTGCAGCTCTCCTGGGTGTCCTACCACCATCTCCAGCAGTCAGACCCACTTCGTGTGCTCTGCTCCCACATCCCTGTGCCCTCAGAGAGACTGGGATGGAGACTCCCAGCTCCAGGTTAATTTGCCACCTCGTGCAGATCTGGGGGGGGAAATTTTGTGTCGACATTTGCTCTGTGCTTTGCAGGCCAGGCCCCCGGGCTTGCTGAAGCCGACGGCTTTAGGCAAGATCCCTGGCAGATTCCAGCTCCATCAGGAGGCGCTGCCCCACCTGCCGGTGCCGCCGCTGCAGCAGACACTGGACCGGTACCTGCTGGCCCTGCAGCCCATCATCAGCCCGGAGGAGCTGAACCACACGCAGGAGCTGGTGGCCGAGTTCCGCAAGCCGGGAGGCGTCGGGGAGAGGCTGCAGAAAGGCCTGGAGATGAGAGCCAAGAAAACAGAGAACTGGGTAGGTTGGGGCTCTGGCCCCAGGCTCAGGCTTGGGAGGGGGCAGCTCTGATGCCCAGCTCTCCAGTGTTCTGGCTGTATTCACTGGTATCTGTGTTTTATGGCATCAGCCCCCCAAGCTGTGCAAGCTCCTTTGCAGGATTTGGGTGAGCAGAGAGATTTATGGCAGGACGTGGGTGAGCAGAGAGATTTATGACAGAACATGGAGTCACTGATCCCCCCTGTGGCTGCTGCAGCGTCTAACCCTTCAGCATCACACAGCTGCCCCAAGAAGCTGAGGGAAACCTACTGCTCAAGCCCTGCACAAAGATCCCCCACTGCCTTGCTCAGATCTACCCTTCCACATGCCAAGCATAAAACTCAAATAATGATTTGCAAAGTGTGAGACAGAACTGTGGGCAGGATGCTGAGTGTGTTCAGCCGGCAGCAGGTGCTGACCCTACATGTTGTCTTTCTCCACCCCAGCTCTCAGACTGGTGGCTGAAGACAGCTTACCTGGAGTATCGCCTGCCAGTTGTGGTCCACTCCAGCCCAGGTGTGGTTTTGCCCAAGCAGGATTTTCTGGATCGACAAGGTCAGCTCAGGTAAAGCCCTTTTCTACCTTCCCCTACATTTCAGATGGGATGAGCTGTCTCTGCTGGCCAGGGAGGAAAGTGTTTAGGCTGCTTGAGAAAGAGAGAAATTACCGTGTGGTCCCCAAGTTTGGTAGCTGTGCTGTGCAGGAGGGCTGTAGAGGTCAGGAAAGGCTGCCAGGCTCCTGGTTGCACCAGACTAAATATTTAATCACAGGGAAAAAACAAGGAGTCCAGTGGTTCAGATACAAAACAGGGGCTAAAAATCTACATTTTGGTCTTTGCTCTAGCACAGACCTTTATCACCAGATGGCCCAATCACTGGATGGAGGTGGTGTGAGGATGTATCTGACACACTGAAGACTAAGAGGCACTAAGATTGTGTGTGCACTTAAAGGCATAAAGAGTAGCCCAGGCACATAAGGGAGACCAACCAGAAATGCCTCTGGAGTTTTGCTAGTTTATAGGGCTGAGGGAGCCTGCTGCAGGGACTGTTGGTCTGTTCCTGCAGGGACTGTCCCCTAACTTGTTGTTTCACTCATGACTTATGGTTTTGGAAGCTTAACAGTCACCAGTGTCTCTCCACCCCCAGTTTTTTCTTGTAGTTAAGCCCTGTCATATCATCCCTTCCTTGTGGTCTCCCTTTAATTTTTAACCAGCACCACAAGTGTTTTATCTCCCATCTGCAGAACTTTAGCACTAACCTTTATGCAGGGTTACCTTCACCACAGTTACCAGTCAGCACTGCTGGGGCAGATTAAAAGTACCAGCCAGGGCAGTGTTGAGGCTGAGAACAATTCCTGCCTTCCAGTCCCCTGCACACACCTGAGAGTGTGAACCTCACAGGGACAGACTAGACAAACATATTTGAAACTCTGTCTCATATTATTAACTCTGAAGTTATCCAAACAGAAGATAAGATCTGGAGTGCCAGTGCCCCAGCCAGTGGAACTGAGCAGCTGCATGAAAATCTGGGCTCCCATCTAAAACACAATTTCCATCCCTGTTTGAATAGTTTGTGGCTGCAGAAAGAAGTTTGACAGCGTGGCCTGAGACTAAAGCTTCAGAAAGCAGAAGGCAAGAGAGCAGAGTTCTCCATCCCTTCATCTGGCAACACTGCTAGCTGAAAAGAAGTCAGCCAACTTCTGCCCAGCTCCCCCTCAAGCCCTAACTCAGGTCACAGGCCATTTGCTCTCTGGAAAGGAGCACAGGGGCTCTGTTCTTTCCCGGCTGTTTTAGTTCCTTGGGTTTTGCAATAAGGCTGGGAGATTTTCATTGAAGACTACTTTGATTACCAGCCCTGAGGTTCTTGGAGTTTCACCCTTTGATCTTCACTAGAGATGGGTAGGCTGAGCAATCTAGATGACACTGCCTGCAAATATCAAATACTTGGACTATAAAGCCTTTGAAGCTCAGTTGACTGCAACCTCTTGTCACAGTGACCTCCTGCCTCCTTCCTTCTACACATGGGTGGCTGCTCCCTGGTCAGAGTAGGCCAACCTGTCACTCCCAGCTAAGCAGTTTGATGTGGCTTGTCACAGCCTCCTTCCCTGCTGGGGGTTGGCACTGGCAGTGTTTATGTTGATCCTGGTAAACACAACACCTCAGTGTCCCATGCAGCATGCCTGCATTTGTTTCAGATCCCTCAGTGCCAGAGGAATGATCTTCAGAGCTGGATTAGCAGCAGAATATTCAGATAGGAACTAGATCAGCAGTGGTGAGGCTCAGGGAGACACAGGCTTTTAACTCAGAGGAGGCCCCTGGCCAGGGAAGGGGAGAAATCCCCTTTTCTTGATGCTTTTTTAATGCTAAGACTGGGATGTGATAAAATCACAACATGTCAGTAGAAAATGCTGCTGTTAGAGGGTCTTTTATGCATTTGGACTGAACCCTGCTTGCTGGAAAGCTGCCCAGAGTTCCTTGGTTATACAGTAAGACACACAAAAAAAGAAAGTGCCACCTGGTAGGAGTATCCAGCAGTCTCAAATGACAACCCCAGAGTGGCTGTATCAACTAATCAGAGATCGGCAACAGGGCTTAGCAGAAAGGCTGGACTCCAAAGAAGCAGAGAGGCTCTGCTAGCCCTCCTTAACCTGGGGTTCTCACCCTAAATATTCTGTGTTTGAATCACAACTTGTTACATTTGCTATTTCTCCAGGTTTGCTGCCAAGCTGATCGAGGGCATCCTGGATTTCAAGACCATGATTGACAAGTGAGTTAGTGACTCTCCTGACTTCCCACATATTCCTTGCTGCCACAGAAAGGCTGAGCCTAGTCAAGAAACCCCTCTTCCAAATAGAAAGGCAAAAGAAAATACCTCTTGAAAAGAGATAGTGTAATCAACATTTACTTCCCTTTCTTCAAGTTCTTTGTTTACCTTAATACTTGCATTGGCACATCTACGTGCTTAGAGGGAAGGAGTCCAACTGCAGCCCTGCAGAGCTATGTATTTCTGTTTGCCCACACAATAAATGACAGCTGGAATTTGTTTCCCTCATTTGGGGTTTCTGGTGTTTCTCACCTGCCAGCTAGACAGGATGAGCTCTGGAGAAACTTGTTCCTCCCTACCCCCTTATTCTCTGATCACCAGCAAACCTGAATGTGCCTTATTTATGTTCCAAAAAGACATTGACCAACATCACACCTTTACATCCACGTTCAGACAAGGCTCAGGGCCAGCTGTAAGAAGGGGGGTTGGAATATGACTGCTCAGGTGATCAACTGACTCCCAGTCTAGTTCACAAGTCACATAGAACATGAGACACTCACCACTCAAAATTACAGCCCAAACCCTTTCTCTGCCATTTCACTGGAAATGATGCATCTCCCAGTATCCTGTGTCTTGGATTCTCCTCTGTGGACAAGATGGTATACATACTATGCAACAAGTCCAGACACCAAGTGTTTTTCCCATTCCCAAATGAAAGGCTGGCCCACAGACACTTTCTGTCATCCCTCCTAAGAAAGCTGGTAACAGTGGGGCAGGACAAGCCCCTTTTTTTTATACCACCATTTAGATCTTGCTGGAGGGAGTGACCAAAACTGTGTGGCTGAGCCTATTCCCGTCCTATGTGGGACTTCTCACCCACCTCTTTTCTCTCCCCTTTCCTCCTTACCTTGCTGCATCTCCAGTGAGACCCTCCCAGTGGAGTACCTGGGTGGGAAGCCCCTCTGCATGAACCAGTACTACCAGATCCTCTCCTCCTGCCGCATTCCTGGCCCCAAGAGGGACTCCATTGTCAACTATGCCCAAGGCAAGAAGCAGTCCAGGCACATCACAGTGGTTCACAACTTCCAGGTATGGCAGCTGCCAAGCTGGTCAGGTCTGTGGAGATGTAGGTATCCCTCTCAGCTACCCATGGACCAAAAAGAACAACAGAAAATCTCACAAGGTTTGCCTCACCAGGGATTTGTTCCTGCTCCCTTTCTCCCCTTTGGTCTTAGCTGGGTTTGTCGTGTGTGAGCAACAGAGGAGAGGCAAAAAAATGCTCTCTTCTTCAGCTTCTTGTCCCTGGAATTCCTGTCTCTCAAAGCCCAGAGTTCACGTCTATGAATTGGAAATTCCAAGTGCAAATTGTAAAACAAACCCTACCACCATAGCTGAGTCTTAGGAATTCCTCATGTGTTTTAGCCCTTGCCAAGGTTTCCAAGTTTCTTAAAACCTGGACTGCATTTATGTTCTGCAAGGGAAGCTGGATTTGGGTCTCTCAGTTTTGAGCATCCTTCACAGGTCTCCTTACAAGCTGAATTTTTAGGTCAAGTCTCACCTTCTCTAAAAGGCTGGTCCCTGTCTCAGGGTAGGGACAATAAAGGCTTTCTCTCATATTCTGTCTCTGTCCTTGTCCACTCTTCTCACCTTCAGTTCTTTGAGCTGGACGTTTACAACAGTGATGGGACTCCCCTCACCACTGACCAGCTCTTCATTCAGCTGGAGAAGATATGGAACACCTCCCTCCAAACAAACAAAGAACCTATTGGGATCCTCACCACCAACCACAGAAACAGCTGGGCAAAAGCCTACAACAACCTTCTGAAAGGTTTGTAGAGCCCCCAGCATGCAAGTGCTGACAAACATTGCAAACACCAACCTTAACACTGCTCTGCTCAGTGCTTTCCTTTGGAAGCTTGTTCTGGGCAGATAACATGAGCTTTCCACCTCAAAGAAGCAACTTGATTTCATTACAAAATATTGTTGTTTCTGTTTTAAAAGATACACGGGTGGAGTCTGAAGGTTGGTGCGTTAGGAACTGAAATCCTAGATTTTCTTGCCTTGCAAATGGGTGGGATGTAAGAAACATGGAAAAAAAAAAAAAAAAGGATGCTCACATCTCTAACAACCTAGCTGGCCACAATCTTAATTACTCTACAACCCTAAATGACCAGACTGGCATTGAGGTACAGCAGGATTCCAACACTGGGTCCTTCAAACCTGCTCTTTCAAACATCCATCTCCCTCCAATCAAAATGCAAGTTTTTCAGCTCCCTCATTTGCTGTTCCTTTCTCTCCCAGATAAGACCAACAAAGAGTCGGTGCGTACGATTGAGAAGAGCATTTGCACAGTCTGCCTGGATGCCCCCATGCCCCGGGTGTCTGAGGACATCTACAGGAGCCGGGTGGCTGCTCAGATGCTGCACGGAGGTGGCAGCCGCTGGAACAGCGGGAACCGGTGGTTCGACAAAACCCTTCAGGTAAGCGCTGCTGCTGCTCGTGCTGAAGGTTTGGGTCTGGAGGAGACAGGTTTTCCAGAGACTACAGAGGTCCAAGAAATCCCAGAAGCCTTTAGAAGGAAAGTTTTCTTTGTCTCAAGAGAGCAGAGAAAGCGAGGAGGCAAGGTGTGGTGGCTGTCAGTCTGATCCCGCGGATCCCTCGCAGCCACCACAAACACTCATCCCTGCCTCTGCCCACGCCTGCTCCCTGCAGCAGTTCTTTGTGTTCCTAGTAAATCCGTGTTCTGCCTGCAGTGAACAATGCCTTGTCTGCTTGGAGGCAGCCCAAGCACAGGGAGGTCTGTTCCTTCTATCCGCCCACGCTGGGCACTTCTCCTGTTGCTGCCAGAAGCTGCCCAATGGCTTTTTGTTCTGTTTTTTTCAAACATGAGCTGCCATCCCACCACACCCCTGTGTTCTCTTCTCCAGTCAGTCTTGTCAAGAGCCTTCAACAATAGTTGCTATTCAAGCTTCTCCTTCATTAGTTGGTACATCCTGGCTTGTGGATAATAGCAGTGGTGCTTTAAAAGATTCTTCTCATATCTGCTGAAATCTTCCTGTTTCCAGCTATTTTGTTCCTATTTGGAATGCTTCATTGATGGGATAAAGCTTAAATGTTCCAACTGATTGAAAAGTAAGGGTGAGCCAGCAGATGGCGATATTATGCCTGTATTATGTGTGCATGTAAGTAAATCAAAACCATTAGCCCACTCTGCACTGGCAAGACACTGAGCACACCGACAGATCTCTCAGACACACTCTTACCCAGTTCATTTTGCAGAGCTGTAACTGTCAGATCTTCTAAGCCTGCTGGAAGCTTCCTCTGCTGCTCTGCTACATGAGACCTTTGGGTTACTTTTCCAGCGTGCCAGGACAGGATCACTGCCCGTTCTGATAGAGCAGGGAGATATTAAGGTCTCTTCTGGACACTTCCTGCTTCGTGCTCTGGATTCTGTCTTCAACACTGTCCTCTCCTGCTTCTCTCATAGTTCATCATTGCTGAAGATGGCTCCTGTGGTCTTGTGTATGAGCATGCTCCTGCAGAGGGCCCACCCATTGTTGCTCTTCTGGATCACATTGTGGAGTACACGTGAGTCCCGTCTCCTTTTCCTCAGCATTGGAGGCAGGTTTTAAACCACTTGCTCCCAAGAACATGTCACAGCTCACCCCCTAGGAATCTGCTCTGAAGGAAGTGTGCTTATTACGTATTGCAGTTCTTGTATTGGTGATAAGAACTGAGTGGCCAAGCTACTCTGGTCAAAGTTTTGCTACTGCTTCCATTCTCAAGGAATTGCAGTGTTCAGTTAACAGGAGCTTTGCCTGGGAGAGGCGCTTCTTTGGGGCAGAAGGCACAGAAGACATTTAATTCATACCCTTCAGAAACCACTGTAATAGCACCATGAAGAATTTTTTCAGCCTGTGACTATTGTCACAAGGTGTTAGGGACAATCTCCTGTGCATTTCTAGCCAGGCTCTGGTGTGCTTAGCTGAGCCTCACCTTAAAGGTTTGGTTAAACTTAACTTCTCTGTGCAGGAAGAAGCCTGAGCTGGTGAGATCACCCATGTTTCCTTTGCCAATGCCCAAAAAACTGCGGTTTAACATCACCCCAGAAATCAAGAATGACATAGAGAAGGCAAAGCAGAACCTCAACATGTAAGTATGAAGCAATGGAGAGATTGATGAGTGACTGAGGGAGTAACTCACATGCCAGTGGTTTAAATGACACTTCCCTCACTGCAGCCAGGGAGTTTTCCCAGTGACTTCCCAGGTGAGCATTGAACCTCACTGAAAAGCTCACTGAAGCCACCTGCCAGGAAGAAAGTCAAAGGCAATTACTGATCCCTCCCATTTACTGAGAAAAAACAAGGCTTTACTGAATTTACCTAGAGATACTGGAGCATAAACACACACACAAAAGCCCATCTAACCAGGAGAACGTTTTAAGCAGTGGCCAAAAAAAGCTCATGTCTGTGGTGCTGTCCAAATGAATCTGTGTGATGGAGCTCTCTGTCCCTGCACAGGTCAGATCCAGCCTGTTCTTTCTCAGCCTTGTGAAAGCAAACCCTTGCCTTTACATTAGAAGAACAAAGAACAGGCAAATAAACACTTCCTCTCTCTTTCCTTGCAGAATGGTTGAAGACCTGGATGTCAAAGTCAGTGTCTTTCATCAATTTGGGAAAAACTTCCCCAAGTCAGAGAAGATAAGTCCTGATGCCTTCATCCAGCTGGCCTTGCAGCTGGCATATTACAGGTAAAGAGACTAGTTGGTAGTTTCTCAGCCTCTTCACCATCAGGCTTAAATATGTGAGGTTGATAAAGGAAGCAGGCTTGGCTGTGCCACCTAAGTGCCACATTTTCCCTGTGCACCGGAATTGAACCCCTCTGTGGGAAACACCCTCTCACTTGTGGCAGCTGCCGAGCAATGGGGGATTGATCCCTCTCTGCGTGCACAGTCCTAGTAAGGAAGCATCAGCTCCTGATGGGACTCACATCAAGCCTTGCCCTTCCCATCAGTTCTTCTGCTTCACAAGAGGCTGTGTCTCCCAGGGCAAACTCACTTCTCTGACCTTCTCCCCCTCCCAGGATGTACGGCCACGCCTGCGCCACGTACGAGAGCGCGTCGCTCCGGATGTTCCGCCTGGGCCGCACAGACACCATCCGCTCCACCTCCATGGACTCCCTGAAGTTTGTGCAGTCCATGGACAGCCCTGACAAATCGGTGAGGATCTAAAAGCAGGGGAGTTAAGAGGCCTCCACTTCAGAAAGAGAGGAAAGCTGCCGATTTGGCTGTCCCCGTGGCAGCTGGTTTCAGCTAAGCAGAACCCAACGTGAGGCTGAGATGAAACATGGATTAGATAGTTGCACACCTTGGGTTTCCTGTGGCTTTGCTTTCACATGTACTGAAAACCTGGGAAACAACACGGGGACATTTCTAATTCCACAAAAAAAAGCATGTCCCTTCAAATAGTCTCTTAAGCTATTCAGACTAAGTTCTGCTACTGATGGATGGAAAACTCCATTCAGAATGACAGTAATGTAGCTGAACAAAGTTATTCAAAAATTAAATCTAGTAAATGTAAAATTAGTCTAGAATGGACACACAAAGCAGACAGGCCCTCCATCCTAAAGGAACAGCCAAAATGAGGGTTTCCATTCTGGAGAAAAACTTACAGATATATTTGTGTGTTCTCAGGACCAGGAGAAAGCAGACTTGCTGAGGAGAGCTACCCAGGCCCACAGGGAATACACTGATATGGTGAGTGTCCTCTATGCAGCCAGGGTTGGAGTTTTACAGAGCAAATGCAGGTTCTGATGAAAGATAAGACCTTAAGAGCTTCCTCTGCTGGCACAGCAAGGTGGCCATTAGTGCTGCTACACAGCTAACTCAGGTCTGACAGTGCTTTTGGCCACAGACTGATTTCTCTCTAGCTGGTGGTTTGTGTCCCTTGTGACCAACCTAAAGGAACGAATCAAATACAAAAACAGCTTCAGTTCTCACTGTCATTGTTGCTGATAAATGCCAAGATTGCACAGAGACCCCTTAGACCAGAGGGAGCCTGTAGGCAGGTTGGTTTCACTGGTGTATTTAATTTCAGTCCTCACAAACAAGGCTGAGTATTGGTGCTACAGGTGAGATCTAGCTTCCTTCTGAATTTAAGCATTTAGGAGATTTTTAGAAGTATTTTTGTTTTACCCAACAGAAATGGATAGTTTTACCCCCTTCCCTGCTAGACAGGCTTTCATTTCATCTTCCTTCCCTGCAGGCAATAAGGGGCAATGCAATAGACCGTCATCTCTTGGGCTTGAAGCTTCAGGCTATTGAGGACCTAGTGAGCATGCCTGAGCTCTTCATGGACACAGCCTATGCTGTGGCAACGCACTTCAACCTCTCAACCAGTCAGGTAGGACTTGTCTGAGCAAAGATGGAAATGCTCTCTTTTCATTCTTCTCCACGTTTCTTCTTCCTTCCCTTCTGTTAGAAACTAATCTTCACTTGGGGACGGAACTTTTTAAGGCTGTTATCAATCCCATAAGGCAGCAGATCTGATCTTACTCTACCTTACTACTCTCCCTTCTCAACCCTATAAAACACCAGCATAACCAAGGCCAAGTTCACCAGGAGTGTTTGGTGTCTAAATGCACGTGGTATCAATTGAAGTTGCTGGTAGAATTGCTTTACCTTCATCTGCTGTGACGTGATTCTTACCGATACAGCTCTGCTTGTGACTTATCACGAGCTTGTCTTGGGGAGCAGTGCTCCTTTGCAAATGCATGGCAAATCATATTGCTGCTACCTGGCAGAATCCAGCATCCATGTGGTGGTAGGTTGGATCTGACCAAAAAGACCTTCTTCTAGAGCATCTTCAGGAGGTGGTAGTTTCCTCTGCTGTTGACAGCCCTGTTAGCATTTGATGGCTACATTTCTCTCTGACTGGCTGGAAGGTTTTAATCACATTGTCTCCACAGGTCCCAGCAAAGACAGACTGTGTGATGTGTTTTGGTCCCGTGGTTCCAGATGGCTATGGAATTTGTTACAACCCCATGGATGAACACATCAACTTTGCAATTTCAGCATTCAACAGCTGCGCCGACACCAACGCAGCCCGCATGGCGCATTATCTTGAGAAAGCACTGCTGGACATGAGGACCTTGCTGGAGTCCACTCCCAAATCCAAGCTGTGAGAGGCAAGCTTGATGCAAAACTCCCAACTAAAGGGGCTATTCCTCATGCACTGAAGTTCCCCAGAAAATGATTGAGGGGACTGCTTCCCCTGACTGGAACCTAGGAAGGCACCTACCATTGGTTTCCAGCAAGAGGGAACAGAATGATCATCTGCAGGATCAGACTGTGGTGAGATGACTCTGTGGTCTTGAGCCAAAACAGAACTGGCTGGTCTTCTCCCATCAAGTGCACCTTCCTGTCCTGAGAGGACTGAAATAGGATTTTTCTGGAGCTTACTCTAGAGGAATACAGGAAGCACAGTCCTTACCAGTATTTAAATCCACTTGGTGAGGAAGGCAGTTCTTCTCCAGGAAAAGCAGGGAATGTTTATTCTATGATGCAACTACTCTAAGTCTTCTTGCTGGTTTAGTCTCCTGAAGAATGCAGCATCTTTCAGGCTTCACTGAAGACTGTTACTGCTATGGCAAAACATCACCATTGAACTTTGGCAAGGGGAGAAAGAGGTTCTTAAGTCAGTCAGAGCAGATCCAGTCTCCTGAGTGCACTGCATAGCTTAGCCCAGGCATTCCAACCATTATGTGGGAATGTCCCCTCATTTTGGGATGCTGGGATCTCCTTTCTGTTGCACTGACCCTATTAACAACATAGTATCATTTGCTACAAGCTAAGGTGGGTGTTGTTGTTGTTGTTGTTCTGGGCTTCCTGTTAAGTTTGCTGTTGTAGTGCTGGCCATGAATCTTCAGGCTACTGCTTCCCCAAATCTCCCTCACACAGGTTTTGCTGGCTTTACTTTATGTACCTTAACTCTTGCAGAGATGAGAAAGGGTTGCCTGTGCATTTCACAGGACACTTGCTTCCTTGTACCTTTCTTTGGAATTGAAGAAAAGAAACAAATGCTGACAACCTGTTTTACCAGCGAGAAGGCCACATGCCTGGTCTCCTTCAGGGCAAACCTTAACCCCATAGGGTTTTACTCCCTGCTTCCAGAAACAACATATTTGTGCATAATGTCTTATGCCCAAGTTGTGGACAAATGTTTCTGGAACTGCAGAACATACTTGCATTTCTGGCCCACAGAGTTCAGATCTGTTAGAGCTAAAGGAAAAACAGCTGCAGAATCCCCCTCCTTTCTCATCAGTCTGCTTTAACAGGGCTGAAAATCTTGAAAAGCAGGAAGAAAGCCAAGGACACAAGGGCATGATTGTCCACTGTGGCAGCTGTTGCTCCTGCAGCAGCAGCAGGAGGAGGTTTTCTGCCACTCCTGGGAGTTTTTTTTTCCTTACTGCCACATTACTCAGACTTGTGCCAGCTCTACTCTGTGAGAGAATGATCTACTGACAGTCTTCTCATGTTCAGTTGACAAATTTGAGACAGTAAAAGATGATCTATAAACACTAACATACCATTGTAGCATAGGAACTTTTGTAAAGCAGGAATTCCAGTGAATCTGCCAGAATCCAAACTCCTGACTATACTTTTATTTACTAAAACTGTGTGGTAAGGAAGAATTCTAGTACCGTTTCTGCAACAGGAATTTAATATTTTAATTGCACACCCTCCAAGATGTGCCTGCTGGGACACCACCATAAACAGGAAGCTTTAGGAGTCTGATGGCCTGTTTTATAACAGGGAAGTATTTAATCATAATTGCTGCTTTTCTGGTCACAGAACAGTCATGATCAAAGTGCCTTGATGAACAACTATGAAGAAATTTGCACTAAATGTATTTAAAGAAAAAAAAAATCTGATTTGCTTCTTGAAAGAAACAAGCCAACACTACTGCATTTTTTTTCCTAAAAGGATGTTATTTCAAAGCTTCTATACACCTAAATAAACCTTAAAAAGGAAAACTTAACTGAAACTCACCTGCACAGCCAGTGATTGTATGAGCTGCCACCACTTTCACATCATCTACATGGATTTAGTTGATCTTTTAGAAGAATCCTGAATGGAGTGAGCTTGCCTAAAAAAAACACCAATAGGAGCACTACAAACCTGTGAGCACAAGACCCTGCTCTGTTGACTCCTCTGTATTAATTAGACTGAAAAATGCAAGAGGACATTCAGTATTATCACAGTGTTAAGTTACTGTATAAATACTACATAAAAGATCAAACCTTGCTGGAATAACATCTGGGTTCATGGAACCTTTTACATTGAAAAAATATTCTTTTTGGCAAAGTAATCCTCCCACTGTACTGAATCAACCTCTCCTGCTAGGGGATGAGTTATTTTTCCCTGCCTGCAATGCCTTCAACCACTGATGCTCCAGTATTGCCACTTAAGTATTTGAGACTGGCCCTTTTCTACTTCTGTCTCATCAAAAGAGAAGGCTCTCAAAAGGAAAGTGCCTATTAAAGATTAAGCAGGAGTCCAGGCTGCTGTGACTATCTCAGAAGATGGGATGGATCTGTTCTGGATCTAAATCTGGATATCCCACTGGCTTCAGCAGAGCAGAGCTGCAAGAAGCAAGACTATCACACTGAACGAGGTACAAGATTTATAAACCACTTCATGCATCCTTAATGACATGCATAGCTGAAATTCAGATGAACAAAGTGATTTTTTCAAGTGCTTGAAAGGACACTAAAATCATTGCAAGTTTTTTCCTTTAAGAAGTATTTTCTTATTGTACAAGTCCTAAAATGTGATGTCCTTGATATTTTTTTTGGTATCAACTTACTGACTACTATTCTCCCTGTTTCTGATGGTTCTATCAAGAGATGTCCATTGTCTTAAAGGCACATGAAGTACAAGAACCTTAAGTTCCAGAAAAATAAACTACCCATTTGGAGCAAATCATTTAAGACATGCATAGGCTGGAAGTATTCAGATAACTCTTGGGGTATGAGTGCAATTTATGACACAGCCTGGTGGTGTTGCATGCTTTGCTGGTTAGCTGTGTTACATACTGTTTCAGTAGCATAATCCATGTCGTGCAAAGTTCTGAAATGTTCTTTGGATCAACTGAAATGCAATAAACAAGTAAGTGCTACAAAAAAGGCTTAAAAGTCTCCTCAGGCACTGCAGGAGTTACATAACTACCCTTTTGGGAGGACAGCAAGAACAGGGAACCACAGCATTCTGTCACCTTCCTTTTATTGTCTTGGTATCTCCATCCAGCCCCCTTGAGTACAGGGGAGGAATAGAAAGCATCTGCTTTGCAAAGCCACATAATCCAAAGAAAACATTCCATTTCAGACAACTGGTGGCAGGACACTTCATATAAGTGTAGGATAATAAGGCAGAGCTCAAATCTTTGTCCTGCACAGCACCATTTAGTTAAGAAAAATCCACGGTATCACTAAGGAATTTCTACTTTATCAAGTATTGCAGATTTCTGGAAGGGTACAGCAAAAGTAGGCAGAAGATGCAGATTACAAACAACTCACAGAGAACAGAGGAGAGTTTATTACAGTGTCTTACAAAAGCTCTTCTTCCTTTCCCTTACTCCTAAGAATTACTGTAGGAAGCTTGGGTTTAAAGGCAACGTGAGGTGAAACAGCTTTATACCCTACACTGCTCTCCACAGGAGATGAAACCTCTTCCCTATGCTCTACTTTTCATGAGGTGCTTCCACACATGGTTTTCCCAGCAATCTGTCATAACAGCTTCAGAGAGGCCAGGGAAGTGCCCCTCTTTGAGCCTTCTCCTTGAGGAAGAGAGTTGTCATCTCCCCTCTGGCTTTGTAAGTTAACTTAGAAGAAATATAAAGATAAATGATACAGGCTTGTAAGAAATTAGTGCTTAGTACCAGCTTTCAAACCAAAACATCTGGTACCACCACATCATGGGGCCTATCTGATGTCCTGCCACATTTTAGTAGACTTGTTCCAAGATCAAATGTCCTCGTGAAAGCTGCAAGATGCCCCTTTATTCTGATGCATCTTCCAAGCAGATCCAGTGCTCAGGTCCTTCAGATGTTAACAGATTTGCTCATGATATGCAAATACTAAACAGTTCTTAAAAAAACATAGACATTTGCTGTAACAACTGAAAACAGTTAGTTTACCCCCCATAGCTACTCAACCACAGAAAGGTAGGCAGCATTCATTCCTGATTTGGATCAGTCACTGCTTCCTACAGTTAACTCTCCGGCTGTCCAACAGTTTCTACAGCAGCTCCAACTCTATATGAACACACAAACTCCTATGGTAACAGGCACAGATGAAAACTTAAAAAATCATAATTAAAAAACCCAATCAAGATTAACAGAAACACATCTCACTTCGAGGAGCTTTCTAATGCAGGAGTCTGATTAAAGTGGAGATAGTAAAACAGGCAGCAAGACTGAGATGTGACAGTCATTTTACCTCTGCTCACATGACTGCATCGAAGGCACCCCGATGACCTTAGAGCCAGTTCAGAAGCTGTCCTTCATCTGTGGAAGTTCAAGTCAGTTGTGCTTTGAATAAATACTTCTGTCGTTACACTTGAACTGCTGCATTATATGCTAGAGATACAGAAAGTGTCCATGCACAGCCCTGAAGCACTTTTGAGTTGAACCCTTGCCAGGTTAACTCATGGATGAGGGAAGCTGGAGGCACCCCCAGCACGCACAGATGGCAGACACACTCCCACAGAGACACAGCACCCAGAGCTGACTGCCCAGACGCAGAACCAGGATGGAAGAAGGATGGAAAGCAAAACTTGCTTGTAGGAGTTCAGCTTTCAAAGTTACTGCTGCAGAACCCTGACTGAGCCACCCTCATAACTGGCAGGAGGCTCTACTGGGACAGGCTCTCTACCTGAGCTCACAGTTGGGTTCTAACAGGACTCCTCAAGAAACACTTCAGACAGTAGCTGAGCTAGTTACTAGTCATTTGCCTTGCTGTTCATTGATGGTTGTCACTTGGTTCATTCTTAAAAATCCCTCCCTTAAGCTTTAACAGAGGAAAAAAAATTAGAAATCCAGTGCTTCAGACAGAGACCAGCAACTGAATTTTGTAAGGCTTTGGGCTGACTCTTCCTGGAGCACAGCACTGCTTATAACCAGTGGGCTTCCTAGTGCCATCAGCAGCACACCAAGTACAACACCAGCAGCTGTACAGATCACAGCAACCCTGAGGTAATAAAAAGTATAAAGGAAGAGATGGAATAAACGTGAGATATGTATGATAATCTTGCCACCTAGAAGAGATTCTAAGACACTCTTGCTAATTACACAACAGGAGCAGCAGTGGAAAAAAAAATAGTCAGTATATTTCAGTTTTTCCTTTGTTTTACACACACACACTCCCCTTAATGGTATCCATGCAGGCTTCCCTGCAGAACCATCACTAGTGTTAAAAATGAGATTTTTAGTCTCTCTTTCCATCTGTACAAAGTGCAGTTGGAATGGATTCTGATCTCCCAAACTGGTTGCAGAAAGGAAAGGAAGCCTTCCTCTCCCTTCTGCCTAGACCACCCCATCCTAGTTCCCCTCCCTCCTAAGAAGTTTTTAGAAAAATTAGAAGCCCTAATTAAGCATGATCACCTTGAGATTAGTTTTGTCATCTTCTTCCAGAATAGAAAAACCCAAACAAAAAGCAAAAACAAAACACACAATCAGTGCCTCACCCACCCCAAAAACAATAGTTCCATTTAAAAAAATAAATAAATAGTGTGTATATTTCATGCTGAAAAAAAATTTTAAAAAATAAAAAAAAAAAAAAAAACAAGAAAAAGTCACAGAAAGGATTTGGTTTTGGTTTCCCCTCCCCCAAACATGACACCAGGCATTTTCTCCCCCCTCCCCTGACGTAGACACGATGGTACATTCCAACTGGCAATGTGCATCTGTGTTGAAAATGAGTTTCTACTCCTGCATGGTCCCACATGCATCAGGGAGCATCCAGCTAGCTGCTAAAGCAGAGCAAAGGCTTTCAGGTTTTGGGTATGGTCCCTGCCTGTTCCTTTGGTCCGTCTGTTAAAAGTCTCCTTGCTGCTCCCAGGTCTCTGCTCTTGTCTGTCTCCGTTACAACGTGCTCTCTGGTCCCCGGACTTCCCCAGTCACTGGAGCTTCGTACCCAGCTTGCGCTGTCTGTTCCTGCGGGGGCAGCAGAGGGCAGGGTGAGAGAGGGGCCCCAGCCCTACCCCAGGGTTTTGTGGCAAACCAGTGGGCAAAAGACAGGAGGATTAAAGTAAGGCTCTGCTTAGCTCCATACAGAAATAAAGCTGCATTTGGTTTTGGTTTCCCCTCCCCCAAACATGACACCAGGCATTTTCTCCCCCCTCCCCTGACGTAGACACGATGGTACATTCCAACTGGCAATGTGCATCTGTGTTGAAAATGAGTTTCTACTCCTGCATGGTCCCACATGCATCAGGGAGCATCCAGCTAGCTGCTAAAGCAGAGCAAAGGCTTTCAGGTTTTGGGTATGGTCCCTGCCTGTTCCTTTGGTCCGTCTGTTAAAAGTCTCCTTGCTGCTCCCAGGTCTCTGCTCTTGTCTGTCTCCGTTACAACGTGCTCTCTGGTCCCCGGACTTCCCCAGTCACTGGAGCTTCGTACCCAGCTTGCGCTGTCTGTTCCTGCGGGGGCAGCAGAGGGCAGGGTGAGAGAGGGGCCCCAGCCCTACCCCAGGGTTTTGTGGCAAACCAGTGGGCAAAAGACAGGAGGATTAAAGTAAGGCTCTGCTTAGCTCCATACAGAAATAAAGCTGCCCCCACCATACTGCACAGGGAGACAAGTAGAGCCCTAGAACATCTACCATGTACTAAATGTGCACAAGTACACGTAGAGGTAACATTATGAACAACTGTTTGCAAAGAGCTGAAATACTATTTAAATAAAACATTATTTAACCCCAAACACTCCCCAACAGACTCACCTCCCAGAACAGTACTTAACCCACAACTGGTTTAGCTTTACTCTGCACTATTCTGCCCACAGCAGCTATCTACAGATTAGAAAATAGATTAATAGCTACTCCTGACAAGTCAAACCAGCTGCAGCTCCTCCACCCCCCAATAAAACTTACCTTGCCTCTGCTCTGGTGACTGTGTATTCAAACCACAGGATGTTAGGAATGAGACTGGTGTCTCGAATTAAAAAGAACTCTGAAATTGGCCTGAAAATGGAAAAGGCAGTGGAAAAGGGAAAATAATTAGACTTTTTCTCTACACTAGTTTTGATCAAAATTTTAAAAGCACAAAAATTGCTCCAGAGTTAACATTACTATTCCATTCATTCCACCTGGGAAAGGAGATCCCTGTTAATTTAATTTAAAAAAAAAACAAAACACCACACACTTGCTAGGGGTTTTTTTGTTTTGTTTTGTTGTTGTTGTTGTTGTTGTTTTCCCTAACCTGATACAATGTTTCCAGACTGTAATACATTTAAATAGATTTGCAATTTCACAAGGTCATCAGACATAGGTTACAAAAGGTCTGTTGGGCTTGAAAAGCTTCTCCAGCCCTGCCACACCTCACAGCTTGAGGAGGGCTTTACATATGGAACAGTGGATTAATTTTCCTCTCTCCTATCAGGCCAGGACATAGGATCCCATGTGTGTGCATGCAGAAGAAAACACAGAGGAATAGGTTACATAACAGTCAGGAGGCAAAACTGGAACAGAACCCAGGAATTCTCATTATAGCATCTGTAACTCTGGCAGTTCATCAAAGTTTGAGCAGCTGATTTACAGTCCAGGCTCATGTGGCTACAACTACCATTTTAAAGACTGAAGCATCTTTACATTTATTTTGCTTCAGTTGCAAGATGCAATTTTTACCCCAATTAGGAATATTTTCTTTTGCCAGATAATTCTGCTACATCTGTGTGAGCAGCTCATTGCAAGGGACTTATTTAATGAGCCAAACGGCCACGCACAGGATGCAGACTTGCAGGAATAAAACCTCCACTGAACAGAGAGACTTACCATGCAGCTATCCTTGGGAAGAGAGGAGTTAGGATCTCTTGTGTGAAGGCAAACCAGGCTATGGCCATGATGCTGCCTGCCACACCTCCATATAGGACTTGGCTCCAGGTGTGGTAAAGCAAATAAACCCTGCAGTGGAAGAGAAGAGTCACCAGACAGGCTTTACAACAAGACGAGGCCTGAATTGAGGGCTGATGCTTCACTGGAGTCTCAGACATTCTGAGGAAGTTATCCCCCAGATGTTACAAGGGGATAACTTAATTTTTTATCATTAAAAAGCTGGCTAAAAAAAAGTGGGGGGGGAAAAAAAAAAAAAAAGGGAAAAACTATCTTCCTTCCTACAGCAGTTTCAGCTTAGAGCACTTCTAGTTTGACCTTAACTCAATAACCCTTCACATTCTTCTTCATGTATCTTTGGATTAGCTGAGGAACTATTGCTGTTGGTTCCCATAAGAGACTTTTCCAAAAACAGTCACAGGACGAGGCCCCTCCAAAGCACCAAAGCAGGATCTTAAAGGCTTTTAAGAACACAGCATTTCTGTAACGATTTTGCCACTCTCAGACGTGACAGCAGGAAGGCTGCACTACCACAGGGTGCTCACTGTGACTGCAGCTGCTCAGAAAGCTGGATTCATGGCCTGGTACCTGTGCACACCAGCTCCACATGTCACATTGAAAATTCTTCTCACCCATGTATCATAAAGCTATTAAGATCATCTTACCTGATCCTCTGCCTAGCACAGACCACTGGATTTCCTCAAATTAATATTTATTTGAATTAAGAATGAAATTGTCCTGTCAGAATTTTTAAAATAACCAGTTAATAATGAGCTCTAATAGTCAGCTGTGTCCACAGGTAACTACTTTCCTGGGAAAAACACAGCCTTATTTCTAGCCTGAATTTGTCTGGTTTCCAATCAGTGGAGCCCATTTTGTGTGCATATATTATGTTGATGATTTGACCCCACTAAAGGGGAAAAAAAAATATCAAAGTTTTGTTTTCTATATTGATCCTAATACAACTAAGTCTTGCAATTCAAGTATCTATAAATGGTTTTTATTAACTAATGCTGAAGCCAAACAATTTGACTGATCAACAGTGGGCATCCCCATGCTGCAGATGCTGGTGTGCCAAGGCATGGTGCAATGGAAGAGGGCAAGGCAGTGAGGCTGGAGGAAGGCCATGGAGCCAGGGGGGAATTGGTTCAAGCTCAGCTCATCTTGAGTCATTTAGAAATGTCCCCATGAAGCACCTTTACTTGTTGGAAGGGTCTCATGGCAACACAGCAACCCCTGCAAAGCTCCAGCTAGTGCAGTGCAGCCATGAAGAACTGGATCAGAAATGGGGGATAAGGGATGACAGGTCTGCTGGCTGTTCAGGGCCACAGGACTGTATGAGAGCAGAAGACAAACAGTTGCTCCATACCTACTATATGAGACTAGCAAAGCCACTGTGACGAGGCAGATGGACAGCACATGTCTCCATAGTAAATCCAGAAACCTCGCATTGTTTGTTTGGTGCATTCTGAAAGAGATGGAGAGCCATTAGCACAGGGGCAGGGAGCTGAGCCCTCCTCAGCTCTGTCCTCACTCTCTCTGAAACCTTAGGAAAGCTCTACTCCAGTGGGGCCTTGGGCAGCTCAATACCATCCCAGCAGCAATCTGTCCCACTGACAGCAGTAAAGGAGAAGCCAAAAGGCCACACCTCTCTCTCTCTCCTACTGTTGGCAGGGATTGCTGTGATGGAAGGCAGAATGCTCAGTTACTGCAGCTGATGGGCAAGGCACATGCTGGGCATATGCAACAGGGAGCCAAGACATCAGAGTCTCTCCCTCATCCAACAAAGCTGGGAGGACCTGTGAGTTTTGTCTTCCTCTACACATGGAGCCACAAGCCAGAGCCATCTCCCAGCCAGAACTTCAGAAAAGCACAGCATGTGATACCAGTACTCAGTAAAGGAGATGAGCTAAAAGTTCATGCAAGTGGGCAACATGTATTACCTAAAAGTTTGCAGACACCCCACTAACAAAACTGAGTAGACACCTAAGAAGCAGCTCTTCTTTCCTCCTTCCTATCCCCTCCCTCTTCCCTCACACTGCTGGATAGTCACAGCTTAGAAAACACAAATTAAGAGACCTGTACCCAGTCAGGTATAGGAGGCCCACCTGAAACCTTCAGGTTTCAGAAATAGTAACTACAGTCCTGCATTCAGATTGGAACTCACATGCTTCATCCACCCTAGACACAGCAAATTGTGCAGTTCCTCATTATGCCAATGAAGTGGCTCACAGAAAGGGAGCCATTTCTTTCAGGTGTTCCAACACATTAACAGCCCAAACCTGACAGTGAATTTTTACCTTAAATAAAGGAACAGAAAGGAATAGACAGAGAAAAACCACATGAATTGGGAGTGGCTGGACGGCATCCCATATTTTGTGGTCACTGTTGAATGGGCTTCTGGGAAGAGAAGAAGAAAAGAGCATGGTCAAGGTCTACTCTGTCCACAGCAGCTGGAATGCTCCAGACACAAAGCCAGACCACTCTGCTGGAGTATCTGCACACAAATCCACAGGACATGTCTCTGCTCAGACGGCTTTGCCAGCCTTCTCACACCCAAACATCCAAAGCCAACATGAGGCAAAGGGGAAAACACCCTCCAACCCCCCATTCCACTCCAAGCCCACACCATGACACCCAGGGCCAGACCATACCTTCACAGGGCCGAGGCTCCCGAATTACATTTTTTATTAACCAGTTCACTCCCTCGTTGAACACCAGCCCTCCCAAGAAAGAGATCTGTGGAGGCAAGACAACCACATCATCCCATCTAAAAAATCCATCTACTTCCCAGGCTCTCTCTCTTGGCAAAACCCCAAACCATGTTTCTAATTTTATTTATGACTCCTCGAGTTAACACAAATGGATTCAAAATTCTCTAGCTGAGGCAGAAAAGCATTTCTTTTTCAACCCACTCTGTGCATGTGGCAGCACATTGTGCATATGCAGCTTTTCAGCAGATGATAGAGAGACAAAAATGCCACTGTACAGCAATTCTGTTAGCATACTTCCACCAGCAAGCTTAGAAAGTGGCATTTTTTAACAGGGCAGCTTTTCAGGGATTGTCATTTGCTGACGACCAACAGGGGGAGTGCATACACTGTTCTTTGGGCAAAAAGCTTAAAAAAGATGACTTTTTAGGCTTCCTGGCTTTTCCCTAATTAATATTTTCATCTTGAAGTTGTTTTCTTTTTCCAATCTAAAATGAAGTCATATTCTGAACTGACACAGACTGGTAGCATTTATTTTGGCTCTTTAATTCCATAGTCCACACAACTCCCCTGAATTAGTGCTGCTGCTGTGATCAAATTCCCAGCTGGTGATGATACTCTTTCTCCTTAACACTCAGTCCCATTCCATATGATGAAGCAATTTTTCACTCTATGTCCCAAGCTACGGGGTCAGGCTGCTGCAAGTTAGCTCCCATCCCTCTCCATCTCAATGCTGCCTTCCCACATCAATCTCAATGCTTGTTTTGTTAGTAACACCTAACAAGCCCCTGTATTCAAAACCCAGTGAATTTGTGCAATAGTTACTCTAACTTATTCTCTCTTTTGGGTCAACAAGAAACATTTGGGTTGCCAAAACTTAACAGCTGCCTCTCCTAGCTAGCATCAACTTGGTAAACTAGAAGTCCCATTCCAAGGTCCCTTGAGCCACTGGTTCCCATGACACCATGGCCCTGTATTAGAAATGTGCTGCCAAAATCCTGTCATTGGCCCCTATTTTATCTGTTTACTGAAGGCAAGTGTTACAAGAGATTTATACCTCCTAAAGGAAATTTATCCATGCCACTGATTCCAAATTACCTGTCAGGGCAGACAGAAAGCATTATGTATTACAAAAAAGGCCCTTGTTGGTCATGTGGACAAAAGCAAATCTCTTCTGTCCCTGGTATATGATTCACAGCTGGGGAGCAGCCCTTATTGACAGATCCACTGCCTTGGAAATCTGCAGGTTTTATTTTGTATCCTCTTTTCTGCTTCAGTAGTTCAAAGAAAGCACATCCTACTGATTTACACACTATCTCCTACATAAGCTGCCCATCTTGCAGGAACCTACTAGTGCTATGATCCTACTGGATCTTGGGAGTGTTCCTGCTCTGCAACAGCATTCTTTAGTTGCTCAGACATCTCCTTGAATGTTTTTGGACAGATAATGCCCAAAACATACCACAGGGTAATAAAAAAGTCAGCAAAGGCTAAGCAGTCTTTTAACCTGGTACAGGTGATAAGTGTCTCCTGCTGTTCTTTGACAGGAACATCACCTTACCTAAGTGCTCTTGAAAGAGAGAAAAACAAGTGTGAATACAGGAGCACCAGGTGACAACAGGAAAATACTTTTTGCCATAAGGAGAAGCTGGGAAGGCAGAGAAGGACTCACCGTGTGAAGCTCTCTCTTGAATATGATGAGTGTTACAAAGCCAACAATAATGAATATTGGACCAAGACTCAAATAAGCTAAAAGCTGACCAGAGAAATCACCTAGGGAAACAAACAAGAGAAACAAATCAGTTTGAACCTCACAGGTACTTTCCTGCTACCAGAGCATGGGTCAGCTGGTGCCCTGAAACACTGAGAGCAGAGGGGCAAACCGAGCACTGCAGAGTCTCCATTTTGCAGACCAGCCTCTGCTGCTCCAACCTAAGAGGAGCCAAGACAAAGAAGACAGCAGTGCTTCCATGCAGGTTGAAAAGCAGGGATGAGAGGATCTTGGCATCATTCAACAGAGATTACTGCCAGCCAATTTACAACAATGACCATGGGTGCGGGCCTGAAGTCACTTTAATCCAACATAAGCACAGGCTGCTGCAAAAGAGGCAGCGTCTTTCCCTCCCCCTCATTCACACTGCCTCCCTGTGCCAGCAATTACCAGCAAGCACTCCTCAAACAAATCCTTTCCCACTTCCTTACTAAAATGGGCTAGTTTGCAGCTGGATCAGTTCCCTAATCTGTCTCACCATGTGTCCACATGAACACTACCATTAGCGAAATGGGGAGGAAATAAATAGCTAAACACTGCAGGAGATAAAGGGGAAAGAAGGAGACTCCGCTTTTTAACCCAGTAGCCCACTGGTGCCACAGAGGAGTGACTTTGGGCTTCCAACCCAAATAGCTGACAGTCTGGTTATTCCCCAGGGACAACTGGGGAGCAGCAATGGGACCTCACAAGAGGTCTCAAGGTACTTCAAAACCTTTATCCGGAACTATCACAGACACACAAGGAGGCTAACAACAGTATAGAGCAGCTACGTGTTTTGATCTGATTTTCTCTTGCCTCTCTTCCCTGAAAAAGGGCACATCCAAACCATTTGGAAAGATGTCAGCATGAACTCTGAGGAAACAAAAAATTATCAGGGTAATTTTGCATCAAGAGAATGAGAACCATCTACCAGAAGATTTTTTTAAGACAGCAGTCACTACAGAAATGCAGTATGAAAACCCAGTGAGCAAATTAAGAGGCCTGGTACTTCCCATATTGGTTCTCAGAGACTAAATCATCTCCATCCCATCACCAAACACAAAAGGATCAACCCCCACATAAATTTATCCTTCCTCCTTCCTCTCAAATGAAAACAGGATGCCTCTGCAAGGCTGAGCATTGGACTCATTCCTAGATCAATTCCACTGCAAGATACTGAGTCTCTCCAGCCCACGCACCCACATTTTAAAACAGCACTTGGCAAAATGGACTTTAACCTCAGCCTCCAAATGCTGGAACTGATTTAAAGAAAAAAAAATAAAATGTTATTGCACTGCTACAAAGGTCAGGCTGCTGATGGTATTGCCACAGAGTTGTGGTTACATCAGGTACAGTGTTCACATCCCTCTTGAATTCCAGACTCTGGGTTAGATTTGAGAACCAACATCATGTATCAGCAAGGACCACTTGCAGGAGTCCTAAGCTGCAACACCAATGAAATGAGGATGAGTTGGAGGGCAAAACCCTCAAGAATACTGGGGCTTCCCTGAAGTGAGAGTCTATTTTGTTCTTAACCTGAATAGTATTAAGGAGTCACAGAATTGTCAGGGTTGGAAGGGACCTCTAGAGATCATCCAGTTCAACTCCCCCCCTAGAGCAGGATCCCCTGGAGCACATTACCCAGGAATGCATCCCAGCGGGTTTTGAACATCTCCAGAGAAGGGGACTCCACAATCACCCTGGGCAGCCTGTCCCAGGGCTTTGTCACTGTCGTCATAAATAAGTTTTTCCTCATATTTAAATGGCACTTCCCATGTTCCAGCTTGTGCCGGTTGCCCCTCATCCTGTCACTGGGAACTCCTGAACAGAGTCTGGCTCATCCTCCCTGCACCCACACATCAGACACTTAAAGGCATCAATAAGTTCTCCCTCAGCTCTCTCAGCCTTTCCTCATCAGGGAGATGCTCCAATCCCCCAGTTACCTTTGTTACCCTCCCCTGGACTCTCTCCAGCAGCTCCCTCTCTCTCTTGAACTGGGGAGCCCAGAACTGGGCACAATACTCCAGATGTGGCCTCACCAGGGCAGAGCAGAGGGGGAGAATGACCTCTCTCTACCTACTGGCCACACTCTTCCATACGCACTCCAGAATTCCACTGGCCTTCTTGGCAGCAAGGACACATTGCTGGCTCACGGATAATTTACTATCTACCAGGACTCTCAAAACCTTCTCAGAACTACTTTCCAGCAGGTCCACCCCTAACCTATATTGGTGCTTGGCATTCTTCCTCCCCAGGTGCAGGACCCTATGTTGAACCTCATTAGGTTCTTCTCTACCCAGCTCTCCAGCCTGTTCAGATCATGCTGGATGGGAGCACAGCCCTCTGGAGTGTCACCACTCCTCCCAGTATGATATCATCAGCAAACATGCTGAGGTCACGGTCTGTCCCCCTGTCCAAGTCTCTGAGGAATATGTTGAACAAGAGTGGGCCGAGTATTGACTTCTGGGGGACACCACTGGTTACAGGCCTCCAACTCCACCCTGCCCCATTAATTAGAAGACACAGAATTTGAAAGTTTTCTTTCAGGTTCACCTTGCAGCATCAGGTGGGTTCCAAACACTCCCAAAGCAGAACAGCAAAGTATGGGTCTAAGTGGCAGCATCAGTTACCTGGCAATAGAGAATCAAGCCCCTTACGGGTTTACATAAATCACAGACTCTCAGATAAATGAATCCCATCTTCAGTGATGAGGGAATTCATGAGACAAGCCACCAGACAATCAAAACTACCCTGAGAGCCCTTCCAATAGTCTCAATTCCAGTGTTACCAGCTGAAGGCAGCTCATCTTTGAGAAATCACCATGTTTCAGATCATTCCCTCTGTTAATCCATGGTACATAAAGGCTTAGCACTTCAAGACTAAAAGCCATAATTCTGCCAAGTAAAAATCAAACCAGATTATTTATCTTCTCAGGGGGGTTCTATTTCTTGTGCAGATGGTGGAAGAATACTTTAAAAAGTAGTATTTTAGTTTAAATAGCATCAGGCCTACCAAATTCAGGACCCTCCATTATGTTATATGATAACATATCCAATAAATCAAGCCAGCCAGACTTCACCAGCACACAACCCACACTTGAACCTAAGGTGGGGAACCAGAAACCATCAGATGCTGCCTGCAGGCAGAGTGCCAAGTCCTTTACTGAGACAACCTTACAACAGTAGCCCCATAAATATTTCAACTGTCCATTTAAAACAGAGATAGCATTAATAATACTTCCCATTGCTGTGGCTGACAGCAACCAGTCACATACTGAAGCCAGCCTTTCTAGAGGAGGAGGCAAATAAAGAGCTGCACACTAACAGAAGGCAGCACTTTGCTGTGCCCCAGGAACTCACTAATGCCATCAGAAATGTACTCGCTAGACGAGGCAGAGCTGCACTAACTAAACCAGCTCTGAAAAGATTTGGAATCCCCAGGGAAGGAGCTGAGAGAGAAAGGGCAGCGCTGAACACCGCACAGCGCTCCCGGGGCCTCACAGCCTGATTACTCGTGTCACTCTTGCCTACCCTGGCACTCCAGTGCCCTGAGAGACTTATTTCCCAGGGAATCGGCACTTGCAGGAGAGCTGACAGTTTCAAATCCAGCCGGATGTAGCAAGCAGCTCCCCCCCCACCTTCTTCTAAAAATTAATTTTTCTTCATTTTACTAAACTTGGGAATTTTAAAGCAATTCCTTTGAGCAGTAGGAACAGAGACAAAACCTCTGGAAAGACCACAAAATTATTATCTATTTAATATATAGCTTGGGGGGGGTTTAAATTCAGCTTTTTTAAAAAGTCCAGCCTTCTCTGGGCATCATTTTGGGGCCTGAGATGCAAAAATAAAGAATCCAACTACCTCATTTTCAGGCACCCGAGGGATAAGCAGGTGAAACACTATATATAGCTCAGAAGCACGCTATTATTTTTTTTTTCCAGCCTTCATTCAGCATCTGCTTCTGCTCCAGTTCAACATTTTACCCAGCATTCTTGCAGTGGAAATAGCTGAGCTTTATCACACTAGCTTAACCTGTGTATAATGTAAAAATGTGAATCAACAGCACCCTAACCACATCCTACCACAAGATTCAGCTTCACCACCATCACCACTGCTTCCTATTGAAGCATCTATTTGTGGCACTGCTGCTGGTTTTTATATTCTTGACTAAATAAATGAACGTGTGCAAGTTGCACAGGCAACATGCAGGGTCTGTGTGTCACACCCAATTTACACCAGTAAACAGTCATGATGGATCCTCATTTCCTCCACTTGCACATATCCTGGCATCACAAGCTGTGGGTCAGTAAAAATATCTTCAGGAGGCTTTAAGTTACGGCATGAAAGGCATACATGGAACTTCTGCAGGAAAATTAAACATAAAGCCCTGCATCAAAGAAGCCAAAGAGCTGAGTAGTACCTGCCTCCTTCAGCAGATACTATTTAGCCACGAAATGAGTCCTGACAGGAAAGCTACCACCCTAACCAGAAATCACAGCAAGGGTTATGAGAACAAACATGCCTATAGGAGCAACATGGGCTGATACTGAGCCACAAGAAATGCTCAGCCCAAGCAGAAACACAGCACAAGCACCTCTGCTCTGCTGCACCTTTTCACCCATGGGATGATTCTGCACACCTGCCTCTCTACCTGACTGCAGTGAACACCTCCCATGGCAGAGAAAACAAAGGAAGATCCTTTGTCATTCTGCAGAGAAAGGTTTCTGCATGCCAGGTTTCTCTCCAACAATTTGTCCAGCTTGAGAATAGGAGTTCCAGAAAGACCCAGAGCTTTAAAAATCCCAGCTGCACTGAAGAGAGGAAGTTTTGGTTTTTTTCTTGTCTCCAAATAATAATAATAAAAACCCCAAACAAACCAGGAACTCGATGTTTCTCAAGTTTAACTCACCCCACAGACAGGAAGTCCCTGAAGATGAGTTTTAAGTCTGCAACACAAAGTCATCCCATGCAAAGTAATGCACACGGGAAAAAACAACCCTAATTATACACACAACATGATAGGATTTAGTTATTACCAAAAAAAACCACAACCCTCAGGCTTAGTGTGAGCCAATACCTTCAGGGTAGTATCCAAAGCTCTGCAGCAGTCAAAAAGGCAAGAAGGGCATTTTTAAAGAGCAAAACAGAAGTTATTGTTACAGCACTACAAAAACTTATTACACGATCCTAGTGTCATGACCTAGAGAGAAACAGTAAACAGAGAAAAGACAAATAGAAAAGGGACAAAGATAACAAGCATGAAACTGCAGCCACTCAAAATATTGAGTAACTTGGTTTTTCAGCTGGATAACAGGGGATACAACAATCATCAATGGAGAAATAGACAGCAAACATTTGTTACTTCTCACTGCACATGAGATAGAGTGTTGGATGAAATTACTGAGCAATGGACTTAAAAGCTGACAAGAAACAACAACCACACTGAGTTACAAAGCTCAGTGCCAAAAGGTACTGAGAGATCCAAAGCAGAAATGGGTTCAAAGAGCAATCAGACATACCCAGAG